AGGAACAGCTGATCCTCCTGGAACAGGGACCTCTGGCTGACTAGATTTACCAGGAGGGCAGATAGGGGGGAATAGATTGGGGTGCTGACAGCACAGTGGACAGTGGCAGGGATGGCAGGGTATGGAAGCTCTAGTGGGAGAGGAAGTCTGTCTATCCGACGAGTTTGTATTCATGCTCAGGCTCTAGTGGGAGAGGAAGGCTGTCTACCTGACGAGTTTGTATTCATGCTCAGATGCCGAGGAGCTCAGAAGGTGGGTGACTGTAACCAGTGATAGTCATGTATATAGAGATTAGAAATGCATGTGAAAACGTCTCAATGTCAATAGGCTTGGAATGAATTTTTCTGTATGAAATTGTGTGTTTTGACAACGAAGTGGAGATCTTTTTTAAACGTTGGAACCTCATTTAATTTTATGTCTTATAGAGTTTATAATGAGTAAAAGATTATATAAGGGTAATAATTCATCTGTAAACCTAGAAATGTACAGCCAATTTTGAAAGAGATGTACCCTAGCTCAGAAAAATGTTATTGAATAGGTTAATGCTGTTGTAATGAAATGGTTCTTCTAATTTAAAAAAAAAAGACATAGTCATTCACCAGTGACTATTTTAGCAGAATGTGATAGGCAAAGGCAAAAATTACCTGTTGATGCTGAACATTGTCCTCAAAAAGGACAACTCTTAGAAAGATCAGATTTTAAAATCAGTCATTCAGACCCCAGTGTCAGTACAAATTATAGCAATTTCAAGGGAGTTCAATTTTCTCATAAAGATATTCTCATTCTGGACAAACCGAGTTCCACACCAGAAGTAAAAGAGAATGTAACTTTAACTCCTGATCTTCCTTCTTGCATTTTTCTTGAACAGAGCACTTTGAACAAAGCCACACCCCACACACAGATCATGTGAGCAAATACCGTTCTCCCTGTTGTCCAGACATTGCTTCTTGTATTTTTCTTAAGCATCAAGAACTCTTTGAACAAAGCAAAGCCCCACATATAGATCATGACAGAAGACCATCCTCTCTTTCCTCAGTGCCACAATTATATAGTTTCAGACCTTCCTTCTGTTTTTCTTGAACAGCAGCAGTGCAAATCCCCAGATGTAGATGACCACATGAGAAATCTTTCTCAAGGTCTGGGTTCTGTAGTAGAAAAGATTGAGTGTATTCCTAAATTACACTTTTCTAATCTGGTAAATGTTGAAGCCAAGTTCAGTAATATGATCTCCCAGTCAGCCCCTGACACTGTGCATCTGCATCTACTCCACCTTCAAATAAATAAGCGATTTCATGTGTTCCAAGACTCCTTCCAAGCTGGATAGTGGAACAGATGAGAGATTTCATTCACTGGATCCTGCTTCTAAAACAAGGGTTGATAGTGAGTTTAATTGTGATCTACAAACTATATCTTCAAGATCATTGGAACCAACCTCCAAATTATTGACCTGTAAACCTGTAGCACAGGATCAAGAATTTTTAGGTTTTCTAGGACCTAAATCTCCACTGGACTTGGAAGTTCTACAGTCTTCTCTTCCAGCTAGTAAGACTATCACTCAGGACTTGAAAACCATACCTCCTCAGAATAGCCAGATAGTAACCTCAAGGCAAGCACAAATGAACATTTCAGATTTGGAAGGCTGTTCCAAACCACAGGGGACTCCAGTGTCTGCAGATGGGTGAGTCACTGTGATAACAGGCAAGCTAATGAAATTTGTAACAAAGGGTTTAAAATGTGTAAGCAAATGGAAAGACTGGGAAAAAGCAGTATGATTTCTTTTATAGGAGGTTGAATCTAGTCTGCTAGAGGTCTTTCAAGAGATAGGTAAATAGGAGTAAAAATGTGAAGGACTTTTTCCAAGACTATTTCCAAAGGACTTTTGGCAAGATTTAACTTCAGGTGCAGGCAGTTGATTACGAGAAGAATCTGGTCATCCAATTGTACAGTTTGCTATTTTTATGTTGAAGATATACTGAATATTTCCTCTGGGAGCTTGCACCATAAATTGGGGGGAGAGATTTATTTTGGTCATAGTTTCAGAGGATTTAGCCAATGGTTGCTTTCAAGTGTTTTGGCAACATGTTGTGTCTTTAGGAGTATGTGGTGGAGGAGCTTCTTTACCTCATGGTAGATAAGAAATAGAACGGAGCCATGATAGGAAAGGGACAAGACACGATGCAGCCCCAAGGAACTAGGCCCTACTGTCTACAGTTCCACTGCTTCCAGTAGTCTATTCATGTTTTGAATCTATCAATGGGTTAAACCATTCTTAGGTCAGAGCCGTCATGATCTAACTGTCTCTGGAAATACCCTCAGACATGCTGAGAGGTGCTCTTTACTAATATAGTTTTTTTTTTTTTTAATCTTTTTGAGACAGGGTCTCCCTGTAGCCCCATCTAGTCAGTTTTTTAATCTAATCATGTTTACAATCAAGATTAGCTATCACATGTCTCTTTCCATGTTCTTTGTGTATATATCTTCCCTCCCTTTCACTCTTTCTATCTCATGATTTTCCTCATATATTTAGTATTTTAAAGGAGAGGAAAAAAGAAAAGCAGTACGGAAAACCACCCCATAACCTTGGAGTGGAGAGTCGTGGCAAATAAGCACTTGAGCCAGGTGGCTCAGGTCAATCCCAGCAGTAATGCATATCATTATAATGTTCCGCTGGTATGAGGCCTCCCTTACCCTGTGTTGCATGAGTGGAAACTAAATATACGGACTAATTAATTAGATCTGTCTTATTCATCACAATATTAGTTCTTTGTTTAATTTAGTTTTATTTTCATGGCTAAAGCAAATTACTTGTGTGTTAGTGCTCTCACGTTATGGTTGAGAAGGTAGCATACCCTAGTGGAAAGCCTGAGGCTTGGAAGGGAGGAAGGCAGTATTTACTCAGCTGGTTCTTGTGGCAGTCATGGGCATGAGGGATCTTCATACACTCATTTATTCTTTATGACAATCGGATTCCTTGATTGACTGGGGAACTGAGATACAGAATTTTCTCCCTGAGCCAAGTAATGCTGCTGGAGGGAGAATGAGCTCAAAAGCAGTCTGTTTAAAGAAAGCAGGAGTTCGTTTCCCTACTTAGTACTGTCTTGCAGATTTTTGAACACCACTTGAACACCCCTTCCACCCACAATCTTGGACAAATCATTTAATATCTGTGGCTCTCATATGTGAGAAGTTGTAGAAGGAAAGAGTTGGAAAGCTAAAACATTCTGTTAGGAAGCTGAAGTGATGAACTGGATTGGTGCAAAAACCCCATGGTGTCAACTTGAGTATTATGTCACAACAGGCTATGGAGATAATACTGATTGTTTTGAAAGCTGTTTAGAAATTTAAAGCATGGATAAATTGTGTGCACTATTCATTAAACCTTTCATGGTCTAAATGCTAGCTTTTGGGAGCTGAATTCCTTTAAAATGAGATAAAGGTATGAATGAGAGAAAATAGATGATTGTAAGTATGAACTAGTGATGCTGTTTGTGAGAATGCGGTAAATGCCAAGCATCATAGTGAATGCTTCTGTTGTTTATACTTAACTACAGTCTCATAGGCAGAGATCATTAACTCAATTTCTAGATGGTTTTTGTTGTTGTTATTGTTTGTTTTTTTAAAAGACAGGGTCTCACTATATAGCTCTAGCTAGCCTAGAACTGACTTTGTAGACCAGGCTGGTTTGGAACTCACAAAGATCCTCCTGCCTGTGATTCCCAAGTGCTGAGATAATAGCCTGCATTACCAAACCCAACCAGTTTCTCGATTTTAAAACCTTGAAATGTAGAGAATTTGTTTTTGTGGTCTGGAGAGATAGGTAGCTCAGTTGGAAAAGTGCTTGCTTTGTAAGCATGAGGACATGAGTTCAGTCTCCAGTACCCATGTAAAACAGCCAGGTGTTGTGGTGGATGTTTGTATTCTCAGCACTGGGGATACAGAGACAGCTCCCTGGGGCTCACTGACTAATCAGCCTAACATCGTGTATTAGCCTAACTCAGTGAGAAGTGCTAGGAGCAGTGACATCCAGGAACAGCTGAGCAAACCTGGTGCTTACATCTGGGTTTTTAAAGTCTCCATAAAAAAGAGAGCTCTTCAGATAAATGGTTGATTCCAGCTTCAATGGGAGGCAGTGGCAAAACTGAGCTCATTCTTAGTAACTGGAACAACTTGAGCAAGAAAATAATAGTAGTAGCACTAGATTTTGCACAAAGCATGAAAGAGGTATTGATGAGTCTCTACTGATGTAAATAACCAACCAGAGAAATAAGTAATAGAAGAGGAACAATAGCATTTCCTTAGAGAAATAATTTAAGGAAGGAGAGGTTTCTATTGGTTTGTGACTCGGAGGGTACAGTCATATAACAGGGAAGGCACAGTGACTAAAAGAGCTGGTTCCATGCATGGCTTGAGGAGCTTTTGAGGGGCCTTGTTACATCGGCAGGCAGGAATGAGAGAGGCATGGGCTGGAAGTGGGACTGCCTGCTCCTCATCACCCCCCACCTCCAGCTAGGCACCATCTCCTAAAGATTCTACAACCTTCCAAACCAGTGGCTATCAGCTAGTGACTTAATGTTCAAACCATGAACCTGTGGGTGGCATTTTACATCCGAATCATATGATTCCTTATCAATGTCTTGAAGACATCTTCCTTTGTCGCTGACTGTGGTTACCCTGGCAGAAGTAAGATGGCTGATACCACTCTTCACCCTAAGATGATTTGAATAGAAATTGATAACTCACACAGAACTTTCAGATCTGGGTGGATTTAAGCAGGTCTGGGCTAGCTTGGGCAAAGAAAAAAAAAGTGGATTGGGTTTAATAGTAGCTAGAGCTTGGGACTGGGAAACAAAGTCACATTCAGAGAGTACCTGACTTTTTCACTCACTAGTCGGCCCAGCCAAGGGACCAAAGGAGTGTAAGAGGGTAAGTCTTAAAAACAAATTTGTGGGAAAAACAAAAAAACAAAAAGGAAGTTGTGAACCAACAGCAGAAATGGAGGCAAACTCTTTGCTATAGTGGTTTTGTGGGGATTACTGTCTGCATTCTTCATTCATGGTAGCCTTTATTGCTAGATAGAATTTGCCTAAAAACATTTTCTTAAGTATGTTCATTGGAAATACTCACCTGGGGTTTTCTTGTCCAGTATTACTGAGTGGACTATTCATAAATGAATATGTTGGTACTTTATGAGATTTTGGTAGGATTTAGCAGTAAAAGTGTTTTGGCTTGGGATTTTTATTATAGAGTTGATTTATTTAATGTGTATCACTATGCAGAATTTTTTTTCTGGTGTCAGTTTTGGAAAAAGTCCTTTTCAGAAGCATCTTATTTTAAGTTGACATGGGTTGTTTTAGTAATGCTTTGTTGTGGCATTAGCCTTTTTATCTCTGATACTGGTAATCTGTCTCTGATCATTCCTATTAAGAGTTTAAAATATGTGTTTTGCTGAGCCTTTTAAGTGTGCATTTTCTATTACATTAGTTTCTGTTTTTATCTTTTGTGTCTTCTATTTTGCATCCTAATTTGGTCTTTTTAATACCTTTCTGAGGATACTTAATTTTAATGTATTCATTAATTTTTGTTAATGTTTAGGATTCTTTTCCAATACATTTATAGAGAGACTAGCTTTTTTCTCATTTTTGTTCAAATGCTTATCATTTTTGTTATAATTTCGTCTTTGTTCTATAGACTATGCTGATTTGTGTTTCTAACTCCATTGTATTCATGGAGATTATTCTGACTGATTTCATTGCAGTTAAAATGTTTAGAATCATTTTATGATATTGTGAAGGTCAATGTGTTAAGGTCAATGCGCAGTAGAAAAGAATGGGTATTGCTGTTGCTGCATGTGAGACAGAGGCACTTTGGTCTAGTTGGTCAGATATACTGTTGAAAAAAATTTTTTTAAAGATTTTATTTTTAATTATATGTGTATATGTGAATATGTATGTAGGTGCCCTCAGAGACTGAATTTCTGGAGCTGGAATTAGGTGGTTGTGAGCTGCCCAACATGGGTGTTAGCAACTGAACTTAGGTCCTCTGCAAGAGAAGTCTGCTCTAAACCACTTAGCCATTTCCCTAACCCCTGAAATCTTTTATCTTTACTGTATTTGTCTGCTTGTTTAATTATTATATGAAAAAATGTGTGATAATATGCAGACAATTGCATTTCCAGGTATGATTTTGCTTTTTCTATTTTCCCTTTTGATTTTGTTTCGAATTATTTTGGAGTTAAAAAGTTACAGTAAAGTTGCAAGATCTTCTACGTAGTCATTTGGGAATGAGTTGTTGACCTGCTGCCCCACCACTTAAGATGTGATATATTCTCATTTCCTATCAGAAGATATTCCTCCACATAATGAAAGATATCAGAGTCAGGAAATCAAAACTCTGGTATTACAGATACCATTCGGCCATGTCCAGTTTTCTTACTGGTGTTTTATATGGTAAAGGGAAACAATTCAAAGTTACATGTTGCATTTAGTTTCTTTTAGTTTAGAGCCTATCCTTTAGTGCTTCCTTGATGTTCATAACCTTGACATTTAAAAAATATTTATTATTTTTATATTTTTATGTGTATGTGTGTATTGCCTGCATGTAGTAAGTGCACCTGTGTGCATGACAGAAATGTCTGCGGATGACAGAAGAGGCTGTTGGATGCCCAGAAATGGAGTTACA